ACAAAAATGAAGGGACATGCTAGTAAACAGCAAAGCAAGACATGACACTAGTGAGTCACATTCTGCAGTGAGGGTACTTTTATGAAATATGACCTCAAAGGGCTGAGGGTGTGGCTTAAGTGGTAGGCCAGTGCAAGGCCCAGAGTTCAAAGCCCAATAAAGCCTACACACACACACACACACACACACAATAATACATGTGTATATATATATTTTTTTCACTCACACACATTCATGAATCATCTTGACAACTTTTGTTGAAAAAAAAACCTAAAGACTAAAATCTTGATTATGTCTCTTCTTGTTTTTTGTGTTTTGTGGGGTTTTGGCAGTATTGAGGATCGAACTCAAGTCAAGACCTGGCATTCCACCACTTAAACCACACCCCCAGCCCTTTGCCTTATTTTTAGAGAGTCTCACTCTTTTGCCCAGGCTGGCCTCAGACCATGATTTTCCCACCTCTGCCTCCTACCTAGCTGAGGTTACAGTTAAGCACCACCATGCCTAGCTTGTTTTTTGATACAGAATCTAACTTTTTGCTCTGGCTGACTTTGAGCCACAATCTTTCCAATCTCCACCTCCTCAGTAGCTGTAGTATAAGCATGCACCACCACACCCAGTTTAATAATGTTTTAAAATAAGATATAATAAAAGCTACACTGATTTGGAATTAATGAGAAACAATACTAAAACTTACATTTGTTTACAAAATGCTTTCTCCCCTAACAAGAAAATAGAATTCTATTAGTAAGTTCTCTTATTATTATCAATTCTATAATATGAGAACATATTATAAAGTTCAGCTGCTCAAGAAATATTTATTGAGGGCTGGGTGAAGTGGTTCATACCTGTAGTACTGGCTACTTGGGAGGCTGAGATCTGGAGGTTTATGGTTTGAGGCCAGCCCAGGTAAATAGTCTGAGAGACCCCACACCAAAATAACCTGAACAAAATGGACTGGAGGCATGGCTCAAGTGGTAAAGCACTTGCTTTGCAAGCATGAAGCCCTGGGTTCAAACCCCAGCCCCACCGAAAGAAATATTTATTAAACATCTATGTGTGACAGGAACTATTTTCCTCACCATCCAGGACATATCAGTACTGAACAAACTCAAGGTGGGATGGGTAACATATGTAACTGATAGGAAAAATATAAATCACCCTTTTCCACTGAGCTCAACCTGCAAGCATTTTAAAGTGAACTTTGAGTGTTACTAATATTACACTTAATGATAAAAATGTATCTTTAAAACATGTATCATTCATCCTGACATGGTGGCCATGCCTATAATTCCAATACTCAGGAGACTGAGGCAGGAGATAGTGAGTTCCCTGCTACAAAGCAAGACTCCATTTCAAAAAAAAAAAAAAGAGATACCTACATAGGGCTAGAGGTGTGGCTCCAGCTTAGGAAGCACAAAGCCCTGAGTTCAAATCCTAGTCTTGCCACCCACCCCCCAAAAAAATCCATAAAATTTAAAAATATATTTATCAGTCAAAGCTATTAACTACAAATTCAAACTGAACCATTAAGATTTGACTTAAAATATATAAAATGATTTGGAATACGCAAGGACCCTCAAGAAGCAAACAAAACTCTTAGAACCACTTAGCGACTTGTACTTGAAACAGGTTCTTGACATCACCAAGGACAGCACAGTAACACAGGCATGTTCTCTGTTCACTACGACATAAGAACACTCTCTAACTGGTTGTTCATTTCTGGAACAAGTTCCAGACACATGTTCTCTTGTTCCTTAGTCACTATTAAAAGGGAAAAAACACCTCAGACTAACAGAGGCCAAATTTAGAGAGAGGAATGAAAACCCTCTTTCAGCGCAGGCTAAGGGAAATGATCATACAAGGAACTCCATACATCCCCAAGAGCACAGATGTGAGCACTGGTTCCAGGGCTCACACAATAGCTACCTTCAGCGAGTGCCCTCTCTGTGAGCTCTTCTGGACTCACAACTCAGAGGCTGCAGCTTGGAGTCTCCACTTCCTCACTGTTTTCATGCACGTTATCTGAAAAGCAAACTTCCCATTTCCTCTAAAAAGTGAATCTGGAAATCCTATCTTCTGTCTGATAAGTGTATATACTACCTGTAATTACTTTTGTCCCCAAACCACAATCCACGATACAAATCTAGGACCACTGACACCGAAAGGTCGGTTGAATATATTTTTAAATGTATAAGTTAAATACGCTCCCCATCATCACAGTTATCAAATGTGCCACCATTTGGCAAAACTCTATCTGTTCCCAGTTACATTAATTTTTACATAGTGGTATGACTCAAATTAACTTTCCAAACATTAAAAGAAAACTTGAGAGCTGTTAAGGGGGAGGAAAAGGGTGAATTTATCCACCCACACGCACACACATACATACATTAACCACAAATATCACAACTAATGAAAGATACTTCACTTGCTGTTTGACCAAACTTATAGGCCTCAGGGAAAAAGATAGGTGTTCTTCATTGAACCACTTTTAAAAGCTAAATAACACTACTTCTGCCACTGAAGTGCATTATTACTGATTCTTCCAGTAATGTCTTGCATCAGCTAAGTCTTTGGTGGGTAAACTAAAATCTCTGATGTACTTTACAACTATACAGCAAACTTTAAGACACTCTCCAGACCAGTAGCAAAGCTGATTCATTTGGAATAATTGATTTACTAAGTTATTAGACCCTGAATACTGCAGTAGATGAACTATATACCTAAGTGTGTGTACTATGTATATGGTATATTAGTATGGACCGCAACACAATCATAACCTCGTATAGAAATGATAAAGACACTAATCCAGAATGGTGGTCATCAAGCCATGAGTCGTAGCAAGGAGTCCCGCTGTGTGTGGAAGTTCTTGCAAATGCTTGGGGGACGGGACAGGGCAGGGTGGGAGACACCCTGTGGTGGGTGTCTCCCTCTCCACAGGGAGAGGGATGACACTCTGAAGAAGAAAACATCTCTACCAATTTTTCCATCCTTAAGTAGACAGTAAATCCTTAAAAATATACTCACTTTCTTCCCAATCAGAGTACAAAATGCAGAGGTCTGAACATCTAACATTTAATAGATACATGGGTGAATTTCATTCATCACCCTTACAGTGGTTAAGAATGAACTTGTCAAAAAGAAAAGGCCAGGTGTGGCGGCATACACCTGTAACTCGGGAGGTAGAGGCAGGAGGATCACAAGTTTGAAGCCAGTCTGGGTTACCCTGACTCTTATTCAGAGTACCTTGAGCACATCTATGAAATTTTCACAATACAACTCCCTTATACTATTAATAATTAAAAACTTAATTTAAAAAATTTTTAAAAGAAAAAAAAGAAAGGACAAAATTTGGCTAATTTACAGGGTGGTAGCCTCAGAAATACTTCAATACCCCTCAGACTTACACAAACACTTTAAGCAAAATACAAACTCCACTTCCCAAATTCTTTGATTAGATCAATTTACAGTACCCACAGCCTGAGACTTCTTCCTCAGGACGCCCAACCCTGTGCCCACCACCACTGTCACTCCAACATTTCTGAGGCTCTATTAAGAGCACCATCTGACTTCAACAGATGTCTCTTCAAACCTGCTTTAGAGTGCTTTCCAAAACATCTAACCCTAAAGTGTCCCTCTACTGCTACCCATGCTCTTCATGATAGTTAATTTTTTTCATTTTTCTACAACATGCCACCACCTTTTACCTTTGCCTCCACATCAGGCTTCATATGAGGAAAAAGGAGCACATACAAACCTTTGCCTCTTTTCGCTTTATGTAATTCTATTACATAAAATTAATCCCCTGCCTTCTACGAGTAAAGTGAGTTTTGGGGCATTCCAACATACTTGAAAGTCAAAGAAAAAATATTAAAATAGTTATTCACAGGTTATCTTTGGATTTTAACCAAATATTCGTAAGTCATTTCAGTTTCATGTTTAGATAGTTCCCCACACCTGGCCATTACAGACTTTGACATGAAATATTTTCAACAAAGAAATATCTAAGAATGGTACATACGACTGAGACAGAGCAACAGAGAAGCAACACGGGTCACATTTTGTAACGCGATCTACACAGTTTTATATTTTCCCTGTCGTTAGAAGGTAAATCTTAGCCAGGCACCAGTGGCTCATACTTGTAATCCTAGCAACTCAGGATACAGATATCAGGAGGATCAAAGTTCGAAGCTAGCACTGGGCAAATAGTTCACAAGACCCTATCTTAAAAAAAGCCATCACAAAAATAGGTCTGGTGGAGTGGCTCAAGGTGAAGACTCTGAGTTCAAACCCCAGTACCATGAAAAGTAAAGAAAAAAGTAAGCCTTTACAGCTGGGGCATTGGCTCATGCCTGTAATCCCAGTACTTGGAAGATGGGTGTCAGAATATCACGGTTCAAAGCCAGCCCAGGCAAAAAGTTCGTGAGACCCTATCTCAACTAGTAAAAAGCTGGATGTGGTGGCACACACCTGTGGGGAGGGGAAGGGAAGGGAGGGGAATCTTTACTGCATACATATGTTCAGCTAACTAGAAATTAGTTATTTAATAATTTAATTTTTTCATTAAACAGATATGTTAACTTTCAGTTTAATTTAGTATTATAAAATAACATGTATAAAATAAAGTTGTAAGATAAAGAGTTATCTTATCTTAAGCAATCAAATACTACTCTTGTTAAGTCTTCATTCCTTCTTCGCTCCCTTCTAATTATCCTCAGATTCCAGGAAAAAAAAACAAAAAACAAAACCGAAAACTATAAACATAGCTATTCCCTAAATGGTTACAAGACACTTAAAAAAGACAAAACAAGCACAGAACGCTGGACTTCAAGAACACAACATAACTTTCCATATTCAAATCAACTTGACATAGAAACCCAGAGTTTAAAGTTCTTGTTTTTATTTTCTTTTTCTCTTGACAGTGAGGGGGGTGTGCCAGTGGAATGAAAGGAGAAGAAGGAAACCCAATGACCTTTATCCATTGCACAAAGACTTACCCACTTGAAGGATCTAAGGCAATAGCTCTGGGTTGATCCAACTCTTGCCAGAATAAAACTTTTCGTAAAGATCCATCTAAATTGGAAACTTCAATCCGATTAGTTTCAGAATCTGTCCAGTATAGTTTTTCTCCAAGCCAATCACAGGCCAGCCCATCAGGGGACAGTAATCCAGAAACCACAACGTTCTGTACACTCTCAGTTTTGTTAAATTCTGTCCTTTTAATGGCTTCTTCGCTGACATCACTCCAGTATATCAAGCCATGACCAAACACGAAGTCCACGGCAGCCGCATCCTCCAGGCCCCCAACCACAATGGTGGCGTTTTCTTTGCCGTTTGTAGCGTCAATCAATCGCAAGTCCCGTCTGTTTGCATAAAGCAGCAAAGGGGCCGCTGAAACAAAAAGGAAAGCTGTGTGAGCCAAAAGGAGGCAGCGGTCCTTTAAGCTGCAAGCCAAAATCAGTGCCCAAATGCTGCTGAAAATGAGAAACATATAAGTAAGTCAACAGGACGCTGCGTAATGCCCTTTCATACACAAGAGACATTTTCAGCACTTTAAACACAAACTGTAGTAACAGGGAAATAAATTTCACCAAGACAATCTTTTCTCATCAAAACAGTCTATTAGATAAAATCTAAAACCTTAGCCAAATTTAAAAGCTTAACCAACCAGGAAGACACCAAGCCACTGAAACATACACACTATACTGGTGGAAACATAAAATGACCTAGCCACTTTGGAAAGCAGATGGCAGGTGCTTGTTTGTTTGCCCTGCTGGGGATAAAACCCAGGGCCTCTGACATGCTAGACAAGCACTCCACCACTGAGCTATGTCCCCAGCCCCAGGTGACAAGTTTCTTAAAGGTTAACTACACAACCTACCATACAATCCAGCCATGACACACCTAGGTATTTACTCAAGAGAATATGACAAAAACGTATCAGTACAAAGATTTAACAATTTGTTGGATTTAGCAATTTGTTGGAAATACATAAACAGGAAATTACCCAAATGTGATCAACAAACTAAAAATTAAGCAGATTTCAATATACCCATAGAAAAAGCAATTTGAACATGTAAAAAGAGATTACTCTGTAAATGAAAAAATCCAGACCAGAAAGTGTATGCACAGATCTTGGTATCCAGCGAGTATATGGTTCAAGGAGGTGGCCACTGAGAAAAGCCAGGAATGCTGGGGATGCAGAGAACTCAGTATTTCTATGTCTAACGTTTACATCGTACATACACAGCATCAAAACTACAGAGGCTACATCACAGTCACAAAAATTACTATTGAACACATTAATACTGCTCACCAATGGCTAGATCTTTATCTCAAATACAATGGATGCTTGATTCATTTTTCCCATAACATCACCCAATTTCTGCTAGACATGCTACCTCCCAACAAATCTCAAATTTTCACTTGCTCACTTCAAGTAAGCACATTACATGCCCTCTTGGCTTGGGAGGATTACTGTAACTTTTACCTTGCCTTTGAGGCATCATTTGCTATGGGGGAAGCAGATTTCCACAAAACGAAGGCAGAGAAACACCAGCAGATCATACGATAAACACGACTGATGATCACAAGGGATGAATTGAGAACTTCTCCATATTCACTAAGCTGCGAAATGCATGCACCATGAATTTAAAAATTTTGTGAAATTTTTGTAATTAGTTTTATTTTTACCATACTTGGTCAAAAAACAAGTAATAAAGCCACAAATAAGGCAGGGTTACTATATTTCAGGCCTCCCATCTATACAAAATCGTAGAAAATGCAAACTAATCTATTATGATAGAAAGTGTATCAGTGGTTGTCTGGAAGTGGGGAAACAGGGTAGAAAGGAACAGGAGGTAGAATTACAAAGGGGCATGAGGGAGCCTTTTGGATGGCTGTTTCCTCTGTTATCATGAGGGTTCCAGAGGTGCATACATGTAAAGGTTTGCTGTATTTCATACTTTATATAAGTACAATTTATTGATAGGCATCAACTATCCATTAATAAAACTGTTAAATAAACAGCCCAGCAGAGCGTGATCTTAACATCACCACTTTATTCTGTTCAGTATTATTAGAATAACCTTTGAATAGACCTAATACCAAAAACTAAATATAGAGTCTACCTTAAAGAAATAACATTTAGCACGCCTGTAATCCTAGCTACTCAGGAGGCAGACATCGGTAAGACTGCAGTTCAAAGCCAGCCCAGGCAAACAGTTAGAGAGACCCTATCTTGAAAAACCCCATCACAAAAAAGGGCTAGTGGAGTGGCTCAAGGTGTAGCCCTGATTTCAAGCCCCAGTACAAGACTTCTCACTTGACTTTCCTAGTATCAAGCAGCAAATAAAAATCTCGAGTGTTAGGGCTGGTAGAGTGGCTCAAGTGGTAGAGTCTAGCACCTAGCGTGAGGCCCTCCTGAGTTCAAACCCCAGTACCACAAAAAAAAACAAAAACAAAAACCTGAGTGCCCCTGTCCTACAGAACTTTCTTTGATGGTGAAAATGTCTCCACTGAGAACACAGCAACCACCAGTGACAGGCGACCGTGGAGTGGCTCACCATGTAGCTGATAAGGTACTGGTGTTTAGCTTTATTAATCAGTTCACTTAAATTCAAATAAACAAATGTGGTTAGGAGTATTAGAGAGCAAAAACCTAGAACCGAAATGACCAAAACTCCCATAATCTGCATGATCTTTCATAATGACTTAATGTCTAAAATTACACCATCCGAAGGCTAGCCCAACTACTAGTTAAATGGAACCACTCCATCTTTTCAAGGACATTATCCTAATTTCTCAAAGCTAAGTTGCTCACAAAATTATGAGGAGAACGTGTGATGGCTAAGCCCATTTACAGACTGTATGTGCCAAACCGAGCTGGGAATGTGCCCCTCCCTGATGCGTGACTCCTCTTCCAGGCTCACTTAAATCCAGCCTTCCCAGTCAAAAACAACTGGACAGATAGCTTTAAAAAAAAAAAAAAAAAAGTGACTACAGCCCTTTCTATTTTTTGTATCTACCAGCAAATTCATGAATTTCTCTAGAAGCTTCACTCTTAGCTCATTTCAAGCTGGCACGTATCATACTGGTTTATCAGTTCTGACAGTGCCCACTACGTTATCTCTTACCAAGCTTCTCACACTATAGGCCAAACAGAAACCTCAGAAAAAATTCCCATTACTGAGGGTACAGTACCATGTGCTGCAGAGAGTTAAGAAACTGCCACAAGCACTTAAAACTGAAGGTCTAGGAGGCAATGCCTAATATCTAGGGGCATCTTCTTTATGGCACTGTCCTTGGAAAGCTGTTTATGTGTCAAGTCCCCACACGGCATTAGATGGCAGTCTTCCTTGATTTTTCAAGTCAAACATTAACATTTCCACTGAAATCCACAAAGTCTAAAGAAGCTTCCTAGTTATTTAAGGCCTCGCAAGCCTTCTGAATACCAAAAAAGCAGAGGAAGGAGAAGCAGGTAAGTCAGACTTGTTTAACTTAGCAACACTCATTACAACTGAGGCTTTCTAAAGGACTGCACGTGCGTACATAAACCTGCACACTAGTAAAAGCAATCCCACATTTCATCCTGGCAAACACCCTCTTGATGCTTGAGAACTTTCTACTGTACTGTCACCAGTGTCTGTTCAGCAACACAGCAAATGGGACACAGAAAGGTGCAATCTAATCTGTACTATTGTTTTTATCCATTGAAGAGACAATGCACACATACCCTGACCTGCTGTGGCACACGTGTCACAGGCTCAAGATCTTCCATTCCAGAAAGCTCATGTTCTGCCCATCTGATACTAACAGTGCAAGCATCTCTTTAAAACTTTAGTATTTATCACTAAAGGGGGGAGGTGGCCCAAGTAATGTATACACGTTAAGTAAATGTAAAAATGGTAAATTTTTAAAAAAATGGGTTTCATTATGGCATTTTTCTAAAAAAGAACTGAAAAAATTAAGTTTGTTATAACTTATCTTATTTAACAACTTAGGAAGTTCGCAGCCACCAGCAGTTCCAGTGCAATTTCAAGTGCAACTGGGAATTGGGGGATCTTGGTGGAGCTGTTGATGTCGTGAACCTTGAAGATAAAAAAGCATGCATATCTAAGTTGTGTACCTGAAACTTCTTTTTGGCCACCTCTTCTGCCATTAAATAATCACCTTTCCCTCCAAACACTTCTCATCCATCCATTACCACAGTTTCTGAATCTTACTGGCATGCCATAGAGCCCTTTCCCCCAGTCTGCCAGCCGCTGTCACGTTGATTCTTCCTTACCATGTCTTTAAGTCTGCCTCTCCTCCATTTCTAGAAGCACGCTACCCTAGACCTTCCAGACCTAACGCAGAAATTACCTGAACAGTCAGTGATCGTCCACTCCCCCTTTCTTTCACTACTCCTAACCGTACTTATGCTTCATCAACTCTTGAAGATGTCTGATTCCCCTGGCCTAACACATAAAGCCTCAATACTTCAGCCCTTTCCTGTACGACATCCACCTAGGACTCCACGTTTACCTTTTATAATCTCTACATCACACAAACAGGTTTTCAGCATGGAAACTGAAAATCCATCATATCCCATCACCACAGTGTATTCAATCTCCTTCCTTCTCCCAGCAAGCAAATCTACGTCTGACTGCCTCAGCCTTCCTTCTTGGGCCTGCGGAGTCTTCACAACTTACTTAACATTACCATTCCCTGAAGTGTATTTCTTACCTCAACTAGGACCTCAGCTCCCTGCCAACAAGAGCCGTATCTCATAACTAATTTTATTCCCAATGTCTGGCCATTCTCTGCACACAGTAATATGGTAAATATTTTTTTACTAATATTTAAAGGCAATCTTAAAGGGCTGGTGTGTAGCTCAGTGGAGAGAGTGCTTGCCTAGCACTGCTTAAGGCCCTGGGTTCAATCTCCAGACCTGCAAAACAAATAATCTTCCAGGCCTGATCTAAAAATGTATTTGCCATCCCCAAAAGGACTTTCGTTTAAGTACTAAGCAAGTGCTCACGAATGCACGTTGATTACCCAGGATTCGGCGTGATCCAAGTCAGCATGGCGCTCTGCTCCCCTCAGACCTTAGACTGTGGCTCTCCCTAACCTCACGCAAGCAGACAGCAGAGCAAAAACACCCTCTGCTCACTCAGAATCACCTGCTCATTGCCCTCAGCAGGGGTCAGCTGACTACAGCCCATGTGCCCCAGTCCCCTGGAACACTCTAGAAAGAAAAGCCTTTCTCTATTTGATTTTGAGACACCTCGTTGCCACAGTCTTTCCAAATAAAATCTCTTCCTTCCTAAGTCCAGGGATAGAAAGACAGACAGAGATGCAGATACATCTTAAAAAGTATGACCCAGCCGTTTATTTTTTCAGTTTCTAAA